CCTCAACATCTGCCTGATAATAAAACTAGCAAATAGTAAAAAGAATAAAGCTACTTGGTTGTAGGACCAAGATATTTACAGCTGTTCCTATATAGTGACACATGTGCAGATAATGATGTAAGTACACACATACTCACACATGCAGGGTTTAGCTGCATAGTTAGTTCTTCAGTAATCTCTGTTATGCATTAGTTAAGTTCTTTAGTAACCTGTGTCACGGCTGTGTGTACTTTCTGTTTTCCCCCTAATTAATGACATGTCCAATACTAGATGTCTCTCTGCTATTAATTGATATATGCATCTTCTTCTTGGTATTTATTCTTCCTAAAGCAGAACCAGAGAGAAGGATTTTGGAGTAGTCAATCTAGAATGCAATCCCAGGAGGTAAGCATAAAGAAGAAAAAAGGAGCTGAAACTGTGGTGGGGTTTTGAGCTTCAGTCCTCCTAGAGATCTCTAAGAAACTACCAAAACAAAATGTGTCAAAGAATTTAGTTCACAAACAGCAGAAGACTGTGTCATGAACCATCCATTCATATTCATATTGCTAAGGATTGCTACCAAGAAGATGGTCAGTCTGTTATAGCTTCTGGTGGTTGTGATGTCAGAGAACAGCATGGGGCAGGGAAACACAGAGGGAGAAAATTCTACCTCCACCTCTGGGTGCAAGATAAACATGAAAGAGGAATTGTGGTAGTGAGAGTGTCTAATATGCATCCAGCCACACTGGCCCATTTAAATAATTTACACATTGAAGCCTAACATAGAAAATGTCATGACATGGTAGTCAGCTTTCTCATGGCAACAAAAACTTAGCTGACAAAAATCAATGCAGAGTTAAAAAGCTTGGACTCCCACTTTAAGAGTTTTCAATCCATGGTTATTTGGACTGGTTGCTTTTCAGTCTGTGCTGAGGTAGTACTATGAAGGTCACTTCATTGCAGTGAAGAGGAAGGGGAGGAGGGAAGAAGGGAGAGGAAGAGAGGGATATGGAGAGAGAAAGGGAAAGAGAAGAAGAAAAGAGGAAGAAGAAAGGGAGAGAGGGAGAGATACAATGAAACAGAGAGGGATAGAAAGAGGGAGAGGAAGAGAGGGAAAAGGAGAGAGAGAATGAGAGAGGAAGAAAGGAGAAAGAGAAAAAGGGAGAGAGGGAGAAACAGGAGAGACAGAGAAAGAGGGAGAGAGAGGGAAAGGGAGAAAGAGAGAGAAAGATAGAGGGAGACAGGGAGATAGAGGGTGAGAGAGAGGGATAGAGAGGGAGAGAGACAAAGGGAGAGAGAGAAGGAGAGAAGGAGAGGAAGAGAGAGAAGGGGAGAGAGCGAGAGGGTGAGGCAGAGAGAGTCACAGAGACCAAGAGACCAGGAGAACATATTCCCAGGTCATGACCCATTACTTTCTCCAACATTCTCAAGTTTCTACTGCTTTCGTTGGGCCCATTAAGATATGATTTCATAAATGGCTAGACTTCTCAAACTCTCATCTCCTCCATTAACCCTACCTCTGAGCACTACCATCCTTCGGGTCCAGCTTTCAACACATGAGCCTCCGATCTAGCCCATATCAAATAGATTCATCTCCTAAGTGGCTCTTAATACCAGTTAAGCATAAAGATAAGTCCAGATAACATGATGTCCACAGCACAACGTGAGAGATATGAGCTCTGTTTCTCAGCCATGGTCATCATGGGATATTCACTCATTTGATTCCTATTTCCTGAACAGCACAGGCAGCATCTAAATGCAGGGGATATAGTAGAGAACTAAAGAACAATTGAGCAAAATAGCTTACCATTCAGATATTGGTTTAAAAGAACTCTGAAGAAAAATTGAGCAGTAGGGAAAGGAGTAGGCTACATCAGAGAAAGGCAATGCCATTGATTTAATTAATTTACAGTGTTTAGAAAACACATCACCAATGAGGTGATATGGGAGGGATCCCTAAAGAATTTAGAGGGTGCATCACAGAGAGTGCTTAAGGGAAGAACTTGAAAAACAAAAGGTCAATGCAAAGGTCCTATGGTCTGAGTGTATATGGCATCTCCTCACAAATCATGAGGCCACTTTGGTTTGCTATGTAGAAGCCATTATTTTCACTTGTTACTACTATGTCAATGTTAAAAAAATGAGGCTGTGCACCAGTCAGTCACATCTATAATCCAAGCCACTCAGGTGGCTGAGATCTGAGGACCACGGTTCAAAGACAGCCCAGAAAAAAAAAAAAAAAACGAAGACAGCCCAGGCAGGAAATTCCATGAGACTCTTATCTCCAATTAACCATCAGAAAACCAGAAGTGGCACTGGGGCCAGCACCCAGGCCCCATGACCAATCAGAGAGAGAGAAAGAGAGAGAGAGAGAGACAAAGAGATTATGCATAAAAAGTTTCTCAAAACACTGGGAACTGGGCACACAGAATTTACACTTGACACTGGTGCATACCTTTGTGGGACCTATTTTCTCTAATTTTTGACAGTCATGACCATTGTATGGTATAATTTCCTATCTTTCAGAATGTTTCACTTGTGTGCTGACTTTCTTGCCTTTTTGGTAATTAGGTATTGTGAATACAGGTTTAAATTACTTAAGAAGTGAGTTAGTCAAGCCTTAATTAGACTTTTTTGTGGATGAAGGTTTGGACTACTGGCACTAGTATTCTTTCAAAAAAATGCTAGAGAAAAAAATCTAGCACATTTGTAAAAGAGAATAACATCTCTGGTTATAACAAATATGGTTAGCAATTCTCTCTAATAATTATTGGACCTTAAAAGATGCACCCCCATTTATATGTTTGAATCTTCCATGTTATTTGAGGAAAATAACCAGGGAAAGATATATTTGAGAGGCAACAATTATGATATAATAGTAAGTAATGTCCTTAAGAAATTCACCAAGCAATGCAAGACCAAAGGAGTATAGAAAAATTGTGGATGACATACAAAAAAAGAAGAAAATGAGCAGTTAACCAAATCTGTTCAAAATTCATAGTGTTAAATGTTATGGAAATAAACTCAAGACACATAGCAAGAAAACAAAAACATTAATTAAGGCTTGACTTTACCTACACCCAAAGAGCCATATGATGAGAGAATAATAATATCATGCAAAACAGTTCTCCCTAAACATCTGATACACCAATTCCCTACAAACAGCTTAGTAAATAAAAAGGATAGAAGTACAGTCTTAAATTGGAATTCTAAATTTTACAAAAGAGATGAACGGTGCTCTTGATTTTCTACCCTTTAATTTCTTGAGATCTATTCAAGCAGACAAGGTTTAATACACACATTACTGTAGGCAAATACTGGACAATTGGATTACTCTATGAAAACCATTTTTATACCATAAACATTGTGAGAAATTAAAATTACAAATCCTCAGGTGAGTTCTTTATAGGGTCAGGGACAGGAGAAAATCAGCCAAGAAATAAAATCTAGGACATTTTATGGGAAGAGGGATATAAATTCTGGAGAGAAGAAGATAAATAACATTTTTAAAAGAGATGCCAGAATGTTCACAATCATGACATAGTGAGTGTGTTGTCTATTCAATCAATCAAAGCACATAATTTGAAGGTCATGTATTAACAGATTTTTACAGTGAATGGCAGGTTCCATGGAGATAAGCAAAGAAAGAATGAAAATCCAAATCACCAACATGAACTTGCCTACTGCCTACATGGATGGCACAGCTAAAAGATTGCTCCGGGATCAGAATCACAAGTGCAAGCTTAAGTTTGAGTTCCAGCTTTCCTCCTTAGAGGCGTTGTGACATTGAGGTAGTTTCTTAATTTCTTGATGCTTCCATAATAATTTAAATAGTGACTAGAAGAAACATGAGTCGCAAATACCACCTTGGAGTCATGGGGAATTGTCATGAATTTAACTGTATGAAGTGCTAATCATAGTACCTGACATGGTGACATGGAAAGTTGACCTATATATATCTTAGCACTATTATTATTAACTTTGATTTTATAATAATTGCAAATAGTCTGCCATGACAAGCTATCAGCAGCTTAAGAACTAAGCTCACAGGGACCTATATCAGCAGTCACTATGTCTGTCTGGCATGGTATTATATTCACAGGTCAAAATACACAGCTGGCTCATTTCAAGGCACTGGTTAATATCTTAATAAATTCACAATCAAAGCAAAGTGATTCCAAAAGTCATACTTGTATTACGTGGTTAAAAATGTACCTATTTTTAGGTATGTCTCTTTGACTTGATACTATGAGTAATAAAATAGGTCAACTAGATTCAGTTTTGAGAAGACTTGGAAAGATACATAGCATTCCAATGTGAGAACCAACTCCAGGACAAACTGGACTTCTGATGATCAGCACTTGAATTATACTTGTCCAGCACAAGGCTGACATCCCCCCAGGAAATAGAATGATAGACGGCTTGTCGGAACTTTTTAAAGCTCTTTTTTTCCACGAGTTGACCATGAGTATATGGTAAAAAATAAAACAAAACCAAACCAAAATCAAAGCCAAAAATACTTCTTGTCCCTTTGCTTTCTTGTTCCTCCCAAATTGGACTGAAAAAGAGAAAGTCTACCAAAAGCTGGGACAATCTCCACAGACACTGAAAGGGCTTCTCAGATAAACCTCTATCCACTAACACCGAAGTAGGCAGCACTCCAAACTAGATGACCAGTTTTATTATCCAATAGCTCTGTGCAATTGAGCCCTGAGATGAGAAAAAGCAACAACAACAACAACAACTTTCAAACTAAATGATGGCTGAAACGATTCTAAAAGGATCAGATAGACAGGCAAAACATTAGTGTCTCTCTCTCTGGCTATACCGCCAGGAAAAGAGCCAGAGAAAGCCCACTGGGGCAGGCCCATTCAACGTTGTCAGCAAACGCTACTCAGAGCAACCCACGCTCTTATGATTTTATCACTGCCATCTAAAGCGAAGGCCCACTTTTGAATTAGTGTGAAATACCGTGGCATTTTTAAATAAAAAAAAAAAAAAGTTTTGAAATGACACTCTACCTGCGAGGCACAACATGAAGGATTGCAGTACCAGCAGTTCCCATGGTAACCTCATCTTCAGCTTCCGAGGTCAAAGTGATTGCAAGTCCAATAGCAGGTGAAGGGAACCGGTGCCTCTTTTAAAGTACAACCTTTAATCTGTGGGGGAGAAACAGAGACGTTACCATAGATTGGGGAATAGTTTTCCTTATCGTCACTGCAAGTTTATCTTCATTGGAATGTAAGTAAAATTCACTGGTAGGAAAGTATGTTTGAAGAATAAAAATCTTGTTAAGCTATAAAGCAGATGAGCATCTTTTTTTTTTTTAATTCCTCTATGGTTTATTTTTATAGGTTCTATGGCTTGGATGTGACTTGATGGTGCCTTCCAAACATGCACATGCTAGAACGTGGGCCATAATGTGTTGGAGTGGGAAGTGGTGGAACCTTTAAGAGTCATTTAATAGGAGGTCATTAAATCCTGGACAGTCCTGCCCTTGGAAGGGACTGGCCTAGGTCTCATGCAACCTGTGAGTGAATTGTCAGGAGACAGCTCAGTCCTGACTCCTCTTTGGATCTCCCTCAGTGCTCTGTATGCATTCCTCTCATGGTTTACCAAGAGGCCCAGGCCAGAGCTTACACTATAATGTGTCACCTTTCAGCCTTCAAAACTACAAGCTAAACAAACCTCTTTAGACTTCATAAGTAGCCCAGCTTCAGGCATTTTGTTCTAGCAAAGGAAACTGAACTTACCCAAAATACCATTAAAATGCATAATTCCAGCACCCACTTAAGAAATCCTATAAACTGGGTTCCTCTGGAAGAGCCCAAATCAGTGAAGAACAGCAGTGCTCCCATTACCCAAGAATCTTAAAACAGGGGGATTCTGTAGGAAAGAAGGCTACTTATTCAGTGTACACGAGTTACAAATCCTGTAGCCAAATGAGCAAGGTGGGCGGGCAGACATGGAGGCTCTAGAGAACACAGACACATCCTGGCAGAACAGGGCCTACACTCTAGCGAAAGCAATGCAACGATGAAATAGCACTACACTCGGAGCAACCCTACAAGCTTTAAATATTGCAAGTCAGCTTCAAATACTTTTGAAACACAGTGTGATGCAAACATAGGCAGATTGCTCTCCCGGGTTGCATGCAGGTTGGCAACCTGGCCTTAGTAAAGCAGAAAAGTCACCAAGCTTCCTCTCATCGGCCAAACCTTTCCCCATCAGCCTGCAGCCAGCCATGCACACATGCACGTGTGGAACTCCTCTGCTTCAGGGGCACGAGGAACCCATCTGGGTGAACATGGTAACATCTCATGTTCCAGGAAGAGCTATGCATAGCCATCCACCTAACTGCAGGAAAATGTGCCATTACTGCTGGTGAAGGAGCTCAGCATGTATAAAATCTGGGTTTCACCCCAGCACCAGTGTGTGTCCATCTGTCTGTTTAGGTATGTATATATGTATGTATATATATATATATATATATGTATATATATATATATATGTATGTAATGTATATATCTATTTACCTACCTATCGATCTATATATGGGTCTATCATTTATCTATCAATAGGTTTATTATCTCTGGTCGATTATCTATTATCTATGTGTCTATCACTTATCTATCAATCTATATACATAGTTATCTATTATCTGTCTATTACCTACCTATCATCTATCATTCATCTATGTATTTAAATATCTATCTATGTATCTGTGCATCTATTGTATATGTGCATGCATGCATGTATGTATGTATCTATGCATCTATGTATGTATGTATGTATCTGTCTGTCTATCTCCATGAGATATGTTCCCTCTGGGGTCTGAAAGTTGAGCAGGAATCTGCCTATTCATCAATCCATTAAATAAGCAAGTCAAGCAAAAATCCTTAATGGGTCAGGAGACTGGCATTCTGTATGCAACTCAGGCAGAAACTACATCCCAGGCATGGTATCTTTCCCTGCCTCTTCCTCCAGTGTGTTTGGAGGAAAACTTCCTGGTTAATTAAAAATAAGAAATAGCTTTGAAAACATTCGAACCCCGCATATTACCAGATCATACTCTTACCACAAACCTGATACCTCTTAGTCTTTGTTTTAAAATAATTGACCTTAGTATTTAAGTGCAAGAACTCATGTGTATTTAGAGTGCACAATGCAATTTTTTCTACACATCTATACGTAATGAGGGAAATCTAGTATATGTAAGCTCATATATAGGTGTATTCTCTCTTGTCTTGCTTTTTCTTTTGAGCAAAATACTGGGAGCAAATGCCACTCTGATCAGAAGACATGGATAAACACAATGTGGTTTAAGTGAGGGCTTTTAGCATTAATGTGTCCACATGGCTAGTGAGAAGCCTTTATGTCTACCAAGAGCCAACAGAAAGTAAAGTGGCATCATTAGGAAACTAGCCTTTATTTCGTGCCCTTTAATAGCTCAGCCTGTGATAAAGCCAGACTTAATCCGTTATGAAGACAAAAGACACCCTTAACCTCTGATCTGCTGACGTGGCTGCCTGAAAGCCGATGGCATCCCTAATTGGCCATGTTCAGATACTCTTCTGACATGCACAGTGATTAGGCCATTTTAGATAAACAGGATGTGCTGATCAATGAAAACTATTAATGTCTTAAGCAAATGATCAGGGTATTAATAATTAATTTTGTGAGGGTAATGTCATCTTGGATCTGCGGATTGATCTACAACATGAGGCAGTTTCTCAACGCAATTAAAATTTGTTTTGGAAATGTATCCAATTATATGATGCAGTTCATGATATGATACTATTTACAATTCCCTCTCTGTGAAGAGCAGTGGATTTATAAGGATGGGGACATTCAAAAGTTATACAGACATTTATTGGCATTTGGGAATGTGAGATTTACCCTCTCTGATCAGAAATAGTGGGGTTTTTGGGCAGTGGTCTGTTCAGAAAAGCCACAGGAGTTCAGAAGGGATGTGAGGATTCATGAACCTCATGCGGGACTGTGGTGAAGAATATGGTTTTATCATTTCTGTTTTCCCTGCCAGAGATCCAGGAAGGTACAAGATGAGCCGCGAGTTATGTCGGCAATAGATCACCCCCACAGCTTCGAGTCATCATCTCTACTTTATTGGGTGGTGGCTGTCGCTAAGGTAGTATACTCAGCACTAACTTTCAGATCTTGCCCAAGACTCATAAATCCTCACCAGGAAGCCACACAATGGAACAGAATGTATTTGCTCTTCTGTGAGCAAGAAAGAAATGAATAACTGAGAACTGCATAAGATTATTTCGGGGGCACATTCCTACACAGAACAGAACTACTTCTAACCTTCTAACCACTCAGACACACGTAATCTTGCTGAAAATATTCCTATACATTAAGCTTGGGAAAAGAAACATGATCTAGTTTCCAATTGAGAGCCTTGGATTCCAGGAATATATAGGGGGGGGGGGGGGCTGGACATCTATCTATCTATCTATCTATCTATCTATCTATCTATCTATCTATCTATCTATCTATATCTATGTATATATCTGTTCATGGAAAACTTATATCTCCATATATTACATATAAATATGTATTTGTGTGTATATACATGCAGACATGTATACATGTATGTATGTGCATATGTATATATATGTATTTATGAATCTGTTTCTGTGCTCTGCTCAATTAGAATTCTGCTGGTATTCAAATAGCACAACAAGACAGTGTTTATTTATCACATGATAGGAGTAGTGCTAAGTGTTGGGATGTGCAGAGGGGTATGGGCCTTGTCCTCAGTGAGCTCACAGTTTAGTTGGTGAGAGAGATAAACAAGTCTGTCATTGTCATTCAGTGCCAAGTGTGTAATAAACCTATTAAGGACAAGGTGCTAAAGAAGTAAAAATTATCTTGGACCTCAGGGCTGGGAGTTGGTGTAGGGGAAGGCGCTTCAAGAAAGCATTCCAGAGGGGCTCCTTGAACTCTGCCTTCAAGAATAAAGAACACACAGAGAAAGGTTGGGTGACAAAAGGAAAAATAACAAGTGAGTAGCTGTGAGCTAAGGAGTGATCAGGTGATAGGCTATTAGATGATGTCAAGTGCTCCCATCTTCTCACTCCCCAGCCACGGGATGCACCTGTAGAAGATCTACAATAACAAATGTCTGTCCATGCTGATTTTAAGCATCAGTGGTGACTTAGGGAAGGCTCTGAGCATGGACACTGGCACAGAGATGATGCAGTGGTCTTTGTTAATGACAGCCTAGCATAGCCTGAGGCTAGGAGTCAAGGGTGAGGGAAAAGTAGGCATAAGCTAAGTCTGAGTGGAGTCCTCCAACAGCCTTCATAGCATATTAGAGAATTTCGACTTGATTCTGAAGGCTAAGAGGAGGGGAGGAAAGCCTGTCATCAGGTGAGTGACCTTGAATAAATACCGTCTCCCTGAATGGAGTTTTGCATTACCTTCCATGTTCAGAAGCATAGAATATCTACTTTCCCTCTGCTTTTCTCCTCCAGTTAAAAGTTAATTACATTTCACGTATTAAGCACTCTTCCAATATATTATCACACATTTTTCAAGGTCTCACAGCAGGAAGACAAGGCAGAAAAACACTTGGAATTAGGTATGATGAATTCTTTCTGTCTGGTTTTGCCACTAATGATCTAGCTTTGGGAAAGCCATTTCATCTCTGTGAATGTGTCTGCTTGTCTGCAAGTTGAAGATGCCATCATGAGCAATTATCTTTCTTAGTCCTAAGGGGCTGTAAAGGCCAATTGACATGTTTTTATAAAGGCACAATTATTACTATAGTTTACAAATTCAGCTTCTTCTACCACCTTGTACCTCGCCACATTGATTTTGTAGTTATGAAGGAAGGGATCTTTGTTCTTTCTACTTGAGACATCTAGAGTAATGAATGATCAGACAAGGCAATTACTAAACAATGATGGAACACTGATGCTAACATTTCTAGAGATCTACATGTCTAGAGATCTAGTCTTTGCTTTTCCATTCATTTAACAACCCGAGGATTCAGGTATCCCCGCCCTCTATAAGACTGTGCTTTTGGAAATTTGACTGTGAAAGGCTATGAAACATATCCAAGATCAAACATTTAGAAAGTCACAATGACAGTATTCAAATGGATGTTTCCTAAAAGCAAGGAATCCTTACT